ATTTTTATCTTGACATATCTGTGTGCTAGTTTGTTTCTTTAGAGTTCTTGATTTAAAATAGTTTCCCTTTAGAACTTTGAAGAGAGTCCAGCAGTACCCTTACTCTCTCTTACTCTGGACTAGGCACTGTTGGAAAATGAAGGGACAGAAACAAGAATTTGTGAATTCTCCTCTGCTCCAGAAGACACACATATCTCATTTACTTTTCACAATATTCCTATTTTCACGTGAAGCCGGTTAAGAGAGGTGAAATAAGTTCATTCATTCAACAAATATTTGTGGTGTACCTGCTGAAGGAGTTCTCCTAAAGGAACTGTCTTCATTTTTTGCTGCTATAACATAATACCACAGACTGGGTAATTTATAAACAATAGAAGTTTATTTGGCTTATGGTTCTGGGGGGCTGGGAAGTCCAAGAGCAGGGCACTAGCATCTAGTAAGGGCCTTCATGCTGAGTCATCCCATGGTAGGTGGAATGACAAGTGAGCACTTGAGAGACAGAGAGAGGATAGGGCCAAATTCATCGTTTTTATCAGGAACTCACTTCCACAATAACCCACTCCCTTGATAATGGCATTCATTCATTCATGAGAACAGAGCCTTCATGGTCTAATCACCTCTTAAAGGCTCCTCCTCTTAATATCTACGAGTTTTGGAGGGGACATTCAAACTATAGCACGAGCTTAGAGTCTACTGGGGAGAAAGACAGTAAAAAGGCAATGTCAGCAGTGCACTATTACAGCAGTAAGCATGGGGAGCCAGGAGACCATCATCTAGGAAGTGAGAAAGGACTTCTTTGAGGGACAGCTGTTCTCAAATCTTTTTTTTTCCCCCCCTCTGGCTTGTGCCTCTAGGTATATGTTCTCAGATCTGAAAGGTTTAGGGACAGTACCTGAAAGAGCCAGATATTTCTGAAGAGTTTTAAAAAGCAAACAGTGGCATGACCAGATTTGCATCTTAAATCATCCCGGCTGCAGTGTGGAAGCAAGGATTGGAGGAGGCTGGACTGGAGACCAGGGAAATGGTTAGGAGGCTGTCTCAGTAATCCAGGACAGAGAAGATGCAGAGGAAGGAGTTATCCCAGATGACCGACTTGGTTGGTTGGATGCAAACTGGTGCGTTTCCGCGGGATGAGGGAATCCTGGAGGAGGAACAGGAAGGTGAGGGAAGGATGATAAGATTAGTTTGGAACATTTTGAATTTTAGGCTCTTGCGGAGTAGTCAAGCAGAAATAAACAATAGGCAATTTGAAACACAGGTCTCTGGCTCGGATCTATCTGCACAGTGCCTGGCCAATAGGAGGAACTATTGCCATGATTATTTTATCTGGGCTAGAGAAAGAGATAAGGAAGTGTCTTCCAGGAGAGTGGTGATGATACACAGGAATAATAATGTCAGCAATAATTTATCTAGCATTTATTTTGACTTAGATATGATACAAAAACAGAAAATGTGTTTTACATGAACTGACTCAATCCACTGAATTTATAAATTCAAAACTATTACCATTCTCCCTTGAGAAATTGAGGCAAAGATTTAAGTATAACTCCATACTGTTAATAAACGGCGGAGCCAGGAGCCAGGAACGCAGACAATGAGACCCCAGACCCTACGTCTTAGGTCACAGTCCAGTAAATCAGACATTAAGTGGGAGGCAGGGGCTATAAATCCATCAGAAGGTTAAGTTACTGCTAGTAAACGCTACAGCCAGAATTCAGAGCATAACAAGAATAATGTGGACTCTGTCCTTGAGGAATTTATCGTCTGGTTGGAGTGCTAACACATAAGCGAAAATAATTAATAGAAACCAAGTGCCGAGGGGTCATGGGGAAGGGAGGGGTGGGAGTCTGGCTTGGGGGAAACCATAGAGAAGGGCCAGCCTCCCGACTTCCTAGAGAGGCGCTAGGAACCGCAGCCCGCTCGCGCTTCTGCCTTGGCTGCTGGCGCTCCGGGTGAGTGACTCCGGGTGAGGTTCCCCGACCAGGCGTTCCCTGACCCGGTTCCCTGTCCTGGAGGTCCAGCGTTGGGACCGCGCAGACACCGTCCTAGAGGCCCGCGTGCCTGCCCCGGAGCCCGGGTCCAGCTCCCTGCCCTCGGAAGCTCAATCGACCTTCCTGTCCCAAAGAGCTGGCTTGATGTCCTGTCTGGCTCTCCGTACTCAGGGCGGACGGCCCGTGACTGTAGGGTCGCCTGTTTTCCCTGGGTCCAGTTTTCAGCTCCCGATCGGGTCTCCGGTCAGCATTGCCCGCTGGGACATTGAGCGTCTTACCCTTGTCACCTGGAGCCAGATTACCACTTGCATTTTGTCCTGCAGCCCGTGGTTGGTTCAAGAGTACCCGTTATCCTACTTTCTCTCTAGAAGCTCCTTTTGGGTCTTTGACACGATCACTAGAAGCATTCAGTACAACCTACTTAGTAATGTATTCATAGTGGGGCAAAGGATTTTCTTAAAAGCCATGAATCCATTGCAGTTCTTGACTCTTGCTTCACAAATATTCTTTCTAGGAATTTCGAGCTTCACCAGACAGATCTATAGGAGAATATACAAAGGGAGAATTTGCAGGATCCTATGAATCAGTGGAGAAGGTGGTTGAGAACAGGCAAAGTGTCCTAAGAATATCTATTTCCATTGATAGTGCCAGGAGACTAAGAGGGAAGAAGTGGAGAGTGTGGAAAACAAGACGGAATCAATCTCATTGTGGTTGTCTCTCCTCTTAGTTCTGCAGGTTCTTGTTTTTCCAAACAAGAGGGCAGTACATGAAGCCAGGGGTCATCAGCCATGCTCCAGACAGTATGGTTCCAGGTGAGCAGAGCTTTGTTCCAGCTTTCCATATTCAGAACAGATATGAAAGGTCACTAACAGGTTCAGTAGCCTGACTTGGCCAGTCCCCGTGCTGAGCTTTGCATCCATCAATAGAGTATGGCAAAGGAGTATGCTAGGGGCATTGATGAAGGAGAGCAGGTAAATTTGGGAGGATCCAGTTCGTTGGGAAAGAAGGAAAGAATTCTAGAAAGTGAGAATCTGCATCCATGAAAACTAACAGTGTGGTCCATAGATGAGCAGCTTCTGCATCACCAGGGGGCTTGTTAGGCAGAATTTCAGGCCCCACGCCAGATCTCCTGAATCAGAATCTACATTTTTTACAAGATCAAGGGAGTTAATCAGCAAGTTAAAATTTGAGGAGTGCTAGTCTGCATCACAGTACACAGAGGAAAGCCACCTTCTGAGATTTGACAGGCACTCCCAGGGAAGGAGTTTGCCCTGCAGGCCACCCAGTTAGGGTACAGTGAGGCCAAAACTGGGAGCATTTGGAAGATGTGGCTTGATGAGGGAGGTGTATTCTTGGAGGAACGCTGAGTTTGGAGCTGAAGCCAGTGCCTTTAGCCCATTGCAAAGATGGCAGCATAGACTCTATGAGAGCCTGTATCCTTTGTTGACATAAATTCACACAGCATTGAAAGCAGTGTCCCTCCAGAGTTTTCTGTGTGATAGTGGATGATTTCACTGGATTTTTCTCTAATGTCCTAGATCATGTAATGAGAAGCTGAGTGTATCACGTAATGGACATATTATGTAATGAGAAAGCTCCATCCCAGAGACTTAAAAGCAATGTGTATGCACTCCTTTTTGTGGATATTGGATATTGGACAATCTACTTCTGTTTGAGCACTTCAGCCAAAATTAGTTCCTATAAGTCAGGAAATGTTTAAACATCTGTAGGGAGTAGGTTGCTCTCCTAGTGCTTTGCCTGAAGTACAGTAGTTACTTAGGATTAGGTTCTACTAAGAAAACCCCAAGTGACAGTGGCTTAAACAAGGTAGAGCCTTTTCTCTCATGCAAAAGAAGTCTGTGAGAGTCAATCCAGGGCTAGTGTAGCAGCTCCACTATTATCCTGCTCTCAGGCTCTTTCCGTCTTTCTGCTCTACCATCCTAGCACTGTCTCGCATGCTCTAGGCCACTTTACGGTCCAAGATGGCCACATGATCTCTAGCCATCATGTGTGCATTCCAGCTAGAAGAGGAAATGCCGGAAAAGGTGAACCTTTCTTTTTTAGGAACCTTCCCAGAAGTCCCTGATAATATACTTGCATTTCATTGGTCTCACTTAGTTGCCAGGGCTGAGTGCAACCTCAAGTAAAATTAGGGTTCTATTACTTAGGAAGAAAGGGAGTGTATGCACACACAAACAGATGCACACACCTGTTCATCTTTGCTATAATTTCTATGAGGAATATTTGTCATTTAGAATCTTCTAGGAAATTCCCCCAATCTTATCTGTGGTTGTAATAAGTGCTGAGATTTATATGACATCATGTGCCAGGTGATGTTTTAGTGCTTTGTACACATTAACCCATTTTATCCTTACACGAGCCCTATCAGATAGTTACTACTATTATCCTAGTTTTACAAATGGGGCAACTGAGGCACACGAAGGTTAAATATCTCATCCAGGGTCACATAGTTAATGAATATCAGGGATAGAATGGGATTTGATCCTAGGGAGTCTGGCTCTAGAGCAGGGTTTTCAACCTTGGTGCTATTTACTTTTCATACCAGGTGATTCTTTGTTTTGGGTATACATTGTAAGATGTTCAGCAACATTTCTGGCCACTATCTAATGGATGCCAGTACCACTTCCACCACCACCATGCTGCAGTTGTGGCAACTCCAGACATTGCCACATATCCCATGGGGGGCAAAATTACCCCCATGTTGAGAACCACAGTTCTAAATGTCTATGCTGTTTGTCACTCTGCTGTGCTGCCTCTGTAACCTACTTCCAATACAGGGGAATCAACAGCCCCACCTAATAATGGAGAAGGAATAAGTGCAAACAAAGGAGAGAAGCACAGTGATCACGGATGGAGCAGGATATTGAGAAGCTAAATGTTTCAAGAAACAAGGAACCAAAGAATGCATTGATAATTAGAGAGTTATCTCAGAGGTGAGGAGGAGTAAAGCATAATGTGAGGAAAGGTGAGGTCTATGTTCCCAGCTGTTGACTCTGAAGGAAGTAAGACAGAGTGTTGTTAACATTTGGGGTCAGTGAAGTATCTATTCTGTACTGTCCAATAAATTACCCCTTAGCTACATGTGCCTATTTAAATTAAAATCAATTAAAATTAAAAATTCAGTTCCTCAGTCACACCAGCCATATATGAACTTCCTTGTCAAGGTGTCATCTGATTTCTTTACTGTATAGTTACTGTTTTCCTTTTGCAACTAATAAGTAATCTATGGGGAGACATTTAAGGTCATGCAAATATCCTGCTTCTCATCCAAATTTCCTCCTAGATTTAGGATCTACTGATGATTTTTGCATAAACCAATCTTTACAATGATGACTACAGATTTTCTAGTACTTCCGGAGTTATCTTTCTTCCACCCAGAAGAGACTAAGCACAAAGAGAAGTTTGCTAACAAGATAAACGGGGATGGAGTACAGTGTGAGTCAGAGAGAAATGTTATAGTAGGACTAATCTACATAAAAATGGTTAGTTCATTTTGAAGTTTTTGCTTCCTTGTACAACCCTGTAATAGAGACTTAGATAAAAAGGACTCCCCTTAGTCCATTTCAAGGTGCTTGATATTGCTGATTCCCCTCATCTGAAAAGGGAAATAATAATTCTTACTTCACAGATGTATTATTGCGATTGAACAACTTGATGTAAAAGTAACAAAGCCCTAAACAACCTGTGATGGTTTCCTTCTTCCTTGAGAAGTTGGAGATGGTTGTAGTGGGAGGCAGAGAGGGATACACATGGTGAAGAGGACAGCATTGGCAAGTCTGGCAGAGCTTAGGTGATCAGGGGACAGATCTCTGCACAAAGACGGGAGACTGCCGTCCTGTCCCTGGAGTCAAGTGTGTTAGGAGATGAGGAAGTGACACTGTACATTGCCTTCAAGGGAGAACCAGCATTTTCTGATAAGGCGAGGTGGTAGAAAGAGGGAGAAATATCCAGAATGAATATCTCCCTGGAATCATTCCTGTGTCTATAGAAGGTGTGGAGGAGGAAGACTAGAGAGAAGCTGAGTGGAAGGCCCTGACAGGTGCTTCAGGATGGATGGAAGCAGGTTGAAAGACAGGTACCTGCTGTGGTTGATTTAGAAAACATGCCAGAAAAATATACCTGGCTTATGGAACCAGACATAGGTTGACATGATCACCAAGCAGAGGACAGCAGGTGTTGGACTGTGTGCTTAAGATGATTAATATTGGAGCTCCAGAGGTGTGGACATGGAAGATGGGAAAGTGGCTGAGGGCTTCCCTTGACTAGGGTACTGTGTGGCTCTCCTCACCAGTACAAACCTTCCATGGGGCTCAGAGCCATGGATTCCATTAGATTTATCCCTTCCCTGGAATTCAGCTCCCCCCACCGCCACCCCAGCTCTTATGCAGGGCTTCAGCAGGAACCTGTCATTTCAGGAGCCAGTGATCTTCGAGGACGTGGCTGTGTACTTTACCCAGAATGAATGGGCCAGCCTGGACTCTATGCAGAGGGCCCTGTACAAGGAGGTGATGCTGGAGAATTATGCAAATGTGGCTTCCTTGCGTAAGTCCTCCTTCCTCTTTGAAACTCAGCTTCTGCCCTTAGGGGCTCCTAGATTCCTCCTTAGCAGCTCTGGGATCTCTGATACCACCAGGAATGATGTCCTTTGAACTGAGCTCCCTAATCCCCAGTTTTAGCAGTACCTGGATGGAGAAAGGGCTGGGTTTGCTTTGGTTTTTAATAGGACCCCCCCTTTTCTGATTCCTAGTGGGGACTCCACTGCAAGGGGCCTTCCTCTGGGCACAGAGAGAAGCGAGAAGGTTCCTGGTGCACCACCTCCAGTCTTCCAGTTCCCTGGAGGAGACCTTGGTCCCATCTCCTATGTGTGACAGTCTCCTAGGACCCCCATGTACATACCTCCAGTGACTGTGGAGCTTTCTGTCCTCTTAGAGGCCAGAATAAGCTTTGAGCCCTTCTTTAGATTTCCCCAGATTCTCTCCTCACTGACCTCACTGAGTCTCCCAGGGCATCCACTTCTTTTTTTTACCTGACAAAGCAGAGGGTAGTCTGAGGGAGGCCGCTGGTGACTCTCCTCAGCTTCCTGTTCCTTTTTGTTTTCTCCTCTGGCAGCATTTCCAGTTCTCAAACCAGATCTGATTTTCCAGCTGGAGCAAGGAGAAGCACCATGGGTCCCGGATCCCTGGATGTCTGCTGGGGGAGAGGCCCTGAGAGGCATGTGCACCGGTGAGCAGGAGAACCTACCATCTTTCATTCCAGCTTTGCCTCCTCCTTTCTTTCAGTTATTTAACCCGAAAGAGGTGTTTCTCCTGTCATATGGCTGTCGTGGGGATGAAAGCAGTCACTGTTATTCAGAGAAGTGTTGCTCACTAGAGCTTCATCCCCAAACTGGAAAACACTAGTCCAGCCATTTCATTTTCTGTCATTTTTCTTTGTAAAGCTAAAGAGTTTCAAACTCTGGTGGTGAAAATAGGCTTCTGTTGGTCAACTTAGGAATATAAACACAATATAGTAAGAACTTGTTTCTATAAGAACATTTTTATGTGTATATGTGTGTATATGAAACTGTACATAAGAATGGAACTTTTCTGAATTCCTAAACACTAAATTATAAATTAGCGTTTGAAAGAAGGCTTGTTTATATATTGGGAATGAATGATTCCCTTTTTTGAAAGATACTAAATGGAGGTGAATGTAAAGAACCATTCAGAGATTTGGTTTATAGCCTTTCTCATTCAGTTGCCCTGTTCTCATACTCTCTCAATCCTTCATACTGTTCAGAGCCTCTGTAAACCAAATGCTCCTTTCTGAGTCCCTCCCACTTCTATCCTAATCAATGCCTTTGGGTTGACTTCAGCATTTTAGGTCATCTTGATGAAGAGCCTTTCCCAGTAGCCTTCCTGCAGTTCTCAGTGTTTCCCTTTGCCACATCCACATGTTGTCTATTTAGCTTGGCAAAGGCTTTAACCCAGCATTAATTCAGTAGAACTTTCTGTAGTATGGAATGTTAGCTATCTGCACTGTTCAGTGTGGTAGACATTAGCCATATGCGTGTGGCTAGTGCAACCGAGAAACTGAATTTTTAATTTTATTTCATTTAAATTAATTTAATTAATTAAAATTTAAATAGCCACATGTGTGGCTGGTAACCACATGGGACTATGCAGCCTTAAGTAAGTGAAAGAACCACCTCGATCTGCCTCTTTTAGTTTCCGATCAATAAGTTTCAAACTCTGGCGCGCATCAGAATTACTTGTGAGGCTTGTTAAAATACAGATTGCTAGGTGCCACCTCCAGAGATTCTATTTCAGTAGACTAGGGTGGGCCTGAGAATTTGCATTTCTAACAAATTTCCAGATGATGCTGGTTCCAGGACCATAATTTGAGACCACTGTTCTTGAGAATCTAGAGCTATGTTCCTTAAACTCTGGGTTGCAACTCATCTGTGAGTTGTGATCAGCATTTTAAAAATAGACTGGACCAGGCATGGTGGCTCATGCCTGTAATCCCAGCATTTTGGGAGGCCAAGGTGGGAGGATCACTTGAGGCCAGGAGTTCGAGACTAGCCTGGGAAACATAACAAGACCACATGCCTATAAAAAAATTAAAAAAATTAGCCAGATATGGTGGTATGCACCTGTAGTCCTAGCTATTTGGGAGGCTGAGATAATAGGATTGCTTGAGCCCAGGAGTTCAAGACTGCAGTGAGCTATGATCATGCCACTGCACTCCAGCTTGGCAACAGAGCAAAACCCTGTCCCCCATAAATAAATAAATAGATAGATAGGCTGTACTAGGTGTAAATAAAATAAACCAAAATAGTATAAAATCTATCATGAATGCATTGCTCTTGTTAAGTATAGTGTTTTGTGAAACTTATTTCTGTTTTAGTTGTGTGCTTGTGTAAGCAAGTCTGTACTGGATTAGGATCTAAAATGTGAGTCATAGTCAACAAGGCTTGAGAAACACTGAGGTGGAAGTTTTACTTGTCAGACTGTTGGTGCTTGAAAAGGCAAAATTTCTTTCTATATTGTAGCACCACCAGGGAGAGCATGAGCTCTCCACCCTGCCCCAGTTGCCATCCCCAGTCTGGGCAGGGTTGTTGACCAGGCCTGTCTTTTCCCCTTTCAGAGGTCAGTCTCCCAGAGGACAGCATTTGGGTTTTGAAATTTTGGTCTTCTTATGAACCCTTCGTAACCAGCCCAGTGTCAGAAACTATTTTCTTTCTAGTCAGACTTGTGATAGAGTACATCTCTTTAAAAATGACAGAATATTGGATCGGGTGTGGTGACTGATGCCTGTAATCCCAGCATTTTAAGACCCTGAGGTGGGAGATTGCTTGAGCTCAGGAGTTCAAGACCAGCTGGGCAACGTAGCAAAATCCTATCTCTATAATAAATAAATAAAATAAAATAGAAGTAATACCTGTGTCTTCCTCACAAGGTTCTTGTAGGAAGTAAAGTAAGAATAAGATAGTGAATGTGAAAGCCCTTTATAAACTTTAAATGTAAGAGATATAGAAAAAATAATTTTAAAAAATACATAAAAAAATAAAAATGACAGAATATTTTAAATCATTTTGACAGGTTTCATGCCTTGATTAAGCCTTGGGATCCACTATCGTAGACAGCATCTCCCAGCCCTCTGGATACCATGTGGTCCTAGAGTTGCCTATCCAGCTCTGTCTGCTTCAGTTTAGAGATCTCTTTTTTCACCTTCAGCTCCCTCTGCTGTTTTTTATTGCTTCTCCTTCCTGGGACTTCTCCACCCCATCCCCATTTGCCTTTATCTATTTGCCTTAAGCAACAGCTTTTGCGGTCCTTACTCTTTTTGTCATCCTTATGGCATTGCTTACCTTCTCCTCCTCCAGTGTTTTTATTCTCTCTTTGGGGCACCATTAGGTAGCTATGTCTCTCTCCAGAAATACATGTGTCTAGGGCAAGGTCATATTGCTTTATCCCTTTTCCTTCTGGCCTAAAGAATAAGGGACTCTTGTGTTTTCTTTTTGTCATGCTAGGTGGTAAAACCAAGACTAAGAAGGAGGAACAAGCTCCACAACTGAACATTTCTAAAGGATCAGAGTCTCACGGACTGCCAGCGGAGGGGCTGCTGATGGACAGTCCCCAGCACCCTCACTTCAGGGACAGGTTAGAGAATTCACAGCTGTGTGACACAGAGAAGAAAACAAACTTAAAGAAAGGAGATTGCATAGATTTGATAGTCCAGGATCCCACAGAGAAGAAAATAAACTTAAAGAAAGGAGATTGCACAGATTTAATAGTCCAGGATCCTAAATCCTCCACTGTTAAAAGAGAGGTGATAGCTAGGAAATTGGAAGAAAGCAGTAGTGTCAGCACACATCTCATTACAAAGCAGGGCCTTCCTAGAGAACAGGTGTTCTATAAATGTGGTCAGTGTGGTAGTTACTACAACCCCCAATCAGACCTTCACCAGCATCAGAGAATTCATACTGATAAAAAGACCTACAAATGCAAAGAATGTGGGAAAACCTTCAGATATAACTCAAAACTGTCACGGCATCAGAAAATTCACACTGGGGAAAAACCGTATTCGTGTGAGGAATGTGGGCAAGCCTTCAGTCAAAATTCCCACCTTATTCAACATCAGAAACTCCATGGTGGAGAGAGGCCCTATGAGTGTACAGAGTGTGGGAAAACCTTCAGCTATAATTCAAAACTGGTAAGGCATCAGAGAATCCACACGGGGGAGAAGCCCTTTAAATGTAAGGAATGTGGGAAGGCCTTCAGATGTCGCTATGACTGCATCATCCATGAGCGAATTCACACTGGGGAGAAACCCTATGAATGTAAGGAGTGTGGAAAAAGTTTCAGTTCTAATTCAGTCCTGATTCAGCATCAGAGAATCCACACTGGAGAGAAACCTTATGAATGTAAAGAGTGTGGCAAGGCCTTTCGCCGCAGTTCGGTATTTCTTCAGCACCAGAGGTTCCACACTGGGGAAAAACTTTACAAGTGTAATGAATGCTGGAAAACTTTCACTTGTAGCTCCCACTTCCTAGTGCATCAGAGAATCCACACTGGAGAGAGACCTTATGAATGCCAGGAGTGTGGGAAGACATTCAATCAGAAAATCACCCTGGTTCAGCATCAGCGAGTTCACACAGGGGAGAAACCTTATGAGTGTAAGGAGTGTGGGAAAGCCTTCAAATGGAGTGCAAGTTTCATTCAGCATCAGAAGTTGCATACCAGGAAGAAACTTGTCGAAGTTACAGGGCCATCTGCAGTGCTCTCCCCTCTGCCTCCCCACAGTGCGTGCTCTGCCTCAGCCCCACCAGAGCCTCTCCCATCTTCTCCATGTGCCAAACTGCTTCCTCCCTCTGTGCCTCTCTTCCTGCTGCTCTCTTCACCTGAAATGGCCAGCTCTTCACCCGTCCAAATAGTACATTTCTTTCAGGATCTTGCTTCGTCTGTGAAGTCATCTCCTTGTAGTCTGAATCCTTTGTCTCACTCCCTGTGAGTTCCCTCATTTTCTCAACTCCTGTTGCATCTCAAGTTATCAGGGTTTCCACTGGGCTCTTGATCATGTCTTTATTGGTCTTGTCTTATATAAGTCATTATTGTTTTCCCAACTTCATTCTAAGTTCTCACGCTGAAGGACCATGCCTGATTACTCTCTTTTATCCTCTGGGTAGGAAATGGCAGTATTTGTTCTTTATAGCGTCCAATTTTGGTCTATACTATGAGTCTGCATCTGCCTTCTGGAGCAACTGGAGTTGGATGAGTTTGCAGAACATTTTGGGTTTTAGGGGATATGGCATTATGAGATGGGCCATTGTATAATAATTAGAGATATAGGAGAAATGCAAAGCCTGTGCAGGGAGGTAATCAGAGAAAGTATGCAATGATCGCTTTCAGATTTTAAGGAGGGCCATTTGGTGGGCTAGTGGTAAGGTTCACTGTGGGGAGAATCTGAGCCTTGGAATTTTTTTATTATCCTGATAGTGACTATTATGAGGGTCCTGTATAACTACGTGAAAAGAAAATGAAGTGATGAGTTGGCACAAGTAGTAATAATGTAAAATGGTGTTTTTAAACTTGATTGGAATGGAATGTGGTTTTTCAGTTTGGGTTCCTTTTCTATTCCCATTCATATCTTTTTTCAATTTCAGTGCCCACTCAAATATACAAGTACAAAAAGTGACTTGGGCTTTTGCAATTTAGGGTAGGCACCTGAGTGTGATAATCTCTAAAATCATACATAGAGTGACCTTGTTGGCATCGCACTGGTGAGGACCAGAGGCAAAGAGGAGAAACCTCACTGTGACTCGCTGTAGCTCCTGCCTCTGCAGCGAGTCCATTCCTGATGAATTCTGTACAGGCACTTGGGTGTGTTCTCACATCTACTCCAGATGCCCTTATGATTAAATCCGAAATTGTGATTGGTGGTGCTTTTAAATTAACTTCATAATGAACTGTTTTGGGAACACCGAGAAGTATTTTAAGCACACTAATTGCTTTGTTTTGATTGTCCCCACCAAAACTCATGCTGAAACTTAATCCCATTGTAACATTTTTAAGAGAGAGGCCTATAAGAGGTGATTAGGATTAGATAAGCTCCTCAGGGTAGAGCCCCCATGATGGGACTAGTGGCTTTAAAAAGAGGAAGAACATTCTGAACTGAGACACACTTGCTCTGTCTCACCATGTGATGTCCCCCACCATGTCATGACAACAAAAAGGCCCTCACCAGATGCTTGCACCTTGCTATTGGACTTCCCAGCCTCCAAACCTGTGAGCTAAATAAACCTATGTTCTTTATAAATTACCCAGTCTGTGATATTCAGTTATAGCAACACAAAACAGAATAAGACAGAAAATTGACAGCAAGAAGTGGGATTGTTGCTCTAACGGATACCTGAAAATGTGGAAGTGGTTTTGGCACTGAATAATGGGTAGAGGTTGGAAGAATTTGGAGGAGCAGACCAGAAAAAGCCTGTATTATCTGAATGGAGCATTAAGGATGATTCTGGTGAGGGCTTGGAAGAAGAGAAGATTGGGGAGCGAGTCTGGAACTTCTTAGAGATTACACTTGATCCTTGAACAACATGGGTCTAATCTGCACAGGTCCACTTATATGTGGATTTTTTTAAGTAAAAGATATACCAAGTGTGCCTGCCTCTCCTGCCTCCCCTTCCACCTCCTTCACTTTTTTTCACCTCTGCCACTTCTGAGACAGCAAGACCAACCCCTCTTCCATCTCCTTCTCAGCCTACTCAACATGAAGACGATGAGGATAAAGACCTTTGTGATGATCCACTTCCACTTAATGAACAGTAAGTATATTTTCTCTTCCTTATGTCTTTCTTAATAACATTTTCTTTTCTCTAGCTTACTTTATCATAAGAATACAGTGTATAATACAGCATACAATACGTGTCAATTGACTATTATTAGTAAGGTCAACAGTAGGCTGTGAGTAGTTACGTTTTCGGAGAGTCAAAACCTATACACAGATTTTTCACTGTACAAGGGTTGCCACCCCAACCCCCAAATTGTTCAAGGGTCAACTGTACTTAAGTGGTTGTGACCAGAATATTGATAGAAATATGAGCAATAAAGGCCATTCTCAGATGGAACTGAAGAACAAGGTATTGGAAACTGGAGCAAAGGCCATCCTTGTTATGAAGTGGCAAAGAACTTGGCGGAACTGTCTGTGCCAAGAGCTTTATGTAAGGTGGAATTTAAGAGCGATGACCTAGAATATAGGGTAGAAGAAGTATCTAAGCGGCAAAGCATTTAGACTGCTGCATGGCTACTTTTACAGTGAAATAAGAGAGGAAAGCTGATTTAAAGACAGAATTTATAATTAAAAGAGAAACAGAGTAGAAAGATTTGGAAAATTCTCAGACTGGCCTTGTAGTACAGAATAAAAAAGCATTTTCAGCAGAGGTTATCAAGGGTGTGAGCAATGACCAATTGATAAGAAGATTAGTATGCCTAAAAGGAAGACAGAGGCTATTCATCAGGACAGTGACAGAAAAACCCCAAAGGCATTTGAGAGATCTGTGAGGCTGCCCCTCCCATCATAGGCCCGGAGCTCTAGGAGGGCAGAATGGTTTCAAGGAACAGGTCCAGGGCACCCTGCACTGGCTAGCTACCTTGCACTGGGTCTCTGCTCCTTTCAGTCTGGCGCAGGGTTCCTCTGCTGCCCCACCTGTGGTCCAAATGGCCCCAAGTAGAGCTGAACTCACCATTCTGGAAGATATAAGCAGTAAACTTTCCACATGGTGCTGATTCTGCAGGTGCACATAATGCAAGAGCTGTGGAGGCACAACAGCCTCCACTTAGATTTCAAAGGATGTATCAAATAGCTTGGGGGTCCAGGTAGAGACTTGTCACAGGGGTGAAGCCACTGCAGAGAGCCCCTGCTGGGGCAATGCTGAGCAGAAACTGGGGTTGAAACTGCCACAGAGTCTCTACCAGGGCAGTGCCTAGTGGAGTCACAGGGGTGAGACTGCCACCAGGACCCCAGAACTGCAGTGCTACCAGTGTGTGGCGCCAGACTGGGAGAGTTGCAATCATGAGACTCCAACCCAAGAGAGCAGAAGTGTGGACAAAGTCCAGCAAAGCTGTAGGAGCATGGCTGCCCAAGGTTTTGGGGGCCCAAGTCTCCCAGTGTGTCCAGAAGGTGGCACATGGAGTGAAAGATTCTAAAGCTTTATGGTTTAATGTTGTTTCCCTGTTAGGTTTTAGACTTACTTGGGACCAGTTACCCCATTTTCTTGTGTCTTTCCCCCTATTGGAATGGGAATATTTATCCTATGCTTATCCCACCATTGTATTTTGGAAGTAGGTAACTTGTTTTGATTTCACAGGCTGGAGGGAATTCAGCTTGGGATGAATCTTCCCTTGAGTCTCACCCATATCTGATCCAGATGAGACCCTGGACTTTGGACTTTTGAGTTGATGCTGAAACAAGTTAAGATTTTTGAGACTATTGGAATAGAATGAATGAATTAAATTTTTTTTTTTTCTTGAGATAGGGTCTCGCTCTGTCATCCAGGCTGGAGTGCAGTGGTGCCATCATAGTTCACTGCAGCCTTGAACTCCTGGGTTCGAGTGATCCTTCAGCCTCAGCCTCCAGAGTAGCTGGGACTACAGGTGCACACCACCACACCTGGCTGATTTTTAAAGAAATTTTCATAGAGACAGGATCTCACTATGTTGCCCAGGCTGGTTTGCAATTTCTGGCCTTAGGTGGTCCCTCATCTCGGCCTTCCAAAGTGCTGGGATTACAGGAGTGAGCCACTGCTCCCAGTTCTGTTTTGTATGTGAGAAGGACATGAGTTTGGGGGAGCCAGGGTTGGAATGCTGTGGTTTGAATGTCCCCACCAAAACTCATGTTGAAACTTAATCCCCATTGTAACAGTATTAAGAGGGCCTTTAAAATGTGATTAAGATTAGATAAAGTCATCAGGGTGAGGCCCCCATGGTGGCACTTGTGGCTTTAAAAGAAGAGGAAGAGAGACTTGAGCTGACATACAGGCTCTTGCCCTCTCACCATATGATGCCCTCTGCCATGCTATGACACAAGAAGGCCCTCACCAGATGCGGCCCCTCTACCTGTATGTCCCAGCTTCCAGAACTGTGAGCTAAATTTAAACTTCTTTTCTTTAGAAATTGCCCATTCTATGGTATTCTGTTATAGCAACAGGAAATTGGCTATGACACTGATCTCACCAGATGTTATGATCTCACTGGTTTGGCCATATTTTCTGCCTAATCCCCAGAGACTCAGACCCGTCTCAGAATCACTACTTCAGGACAGTGTAGTGACAAGCAAATGTACTTTAAAAAATTAAGTGGGAGGACAGTACTAAGAAAATGATATGTACACTGTTATGTTAACATCATAAAATCATGTATGCAAGGGAGGACATAGATTTTGTTTTGGCTTTGGTTTTGATCAGGTTTATTGAGGCATGCTTTATATATACTTTTAAAGTTTACAATTTGATGAGACAAATGAATACAGTTGTTTAACCAAGATATAGAAAATTTCCATCACTCCAGAAAGTTCCCTTGGCACAGGCAGAAATTTAAATGGTTGGTGAGTTGTTAGGGATTTTTCATGCCTTGATAAGGTCTGTGCAATACACAGAATTTAGAAGAAGAAAAAGCAAAAACTAAATTTATTTTCCCAACTCTAGTCAGAACTTCCAGAATATGCAAGGAACCCAGAATCACTGCTCAGAAGAGCAGCCAAAATGTGGGAGTATAACAGTGACTTTGGCTTCTTTGCCATATTTTTGATATATATACACATAAAAAATGTTTGTGCTGTTTACTTCTCCAAAACACCATTGAACAGAAAGGGCCTCAGGGGTTCTGGGAGGATGGTAGCAAGGAAGGGTTGTGGGTGAGAGACTCCTCAACTAGCCAGTCTTCAGGAAAGAGGAACTTCTTAGTTTGGAGGATAGCAGATTGTAAGACAAGAAGAAAGCAAGGAATGTAGGG